GGATGGGAAGCGCACCCACTATACCTTGCTAATTTATCTCAGTGGTGGTTCCCGATCCAAAACCAGAAATGATAACACGCAAGATTCTGCATCTGAGACTATAGTTGGAGGAGAGACTGTTTTTTATGGTCCTAGAAATGCCTTAGTGGCTGAGGTAGATGTCTTTCTGCTTCTATTATGTTATGTGCTCTTGATTCTGCCCTCTTTCCCATATCTCAACCCCCTTCATCAAATGGGACAGTTTATACAAAAAATAAGAAGTCCCAAAAGCTACTTAGGTAAAAAGAAATAGGGAAGTCAATTGAATTAGAAGACTTCAATTTACATTCAACTGCATAACAGAGCAATAAAGAGGTGTGTTGTGTAAGATTTCTTCCTTGTACATTTGGCTTGGTGGAGCTTGTCGCATCAAGTGTTCTAATATCGTGAAATCCTCAGGTACCACCAACTGAAGGAATGGCTCTCCTGCACGTTCATGGGGATAGGTGTATGCTGCATGAAGCTCGGAATGTTCATACGGGAGTCAAATATGTGTTACGATCAGATGTAGTATTTGCTTGACTATTGTTTGTCAGCATCCAGTATACTGGGAAAGGTTCTGTGGTTTGACTTTATGTGCTTATCATTATAAGCCTCTTCTCAATTATAATCAACAATGCTTTCCTTTTTTGTATCTTCAAAGATGGATATCATGTACTCTAAATCAGTTGAATGAATTGTTTATAATTGAAAACATATAGACATTAGAGTGTTATGTTAACTGAATTCTTGATAAAATACTGGTAACTTTTTTCCCCCTCTGGATTCATACGATGTTTCTACAGTGTGGGAATGCTTAGAGATTTTGGGTGCTTGAGATTCAATTGTAATTTGATCTAAAAATTCTCCTTTTAGTTTTACTTTTATGGGTAGGCGGAAGTCATTATTGAGCTTGGGAAGAAGATTGGCAACGTACATTTCATGTCTGACCTTTTTAAAACTAAGTACTTTACCCATTTCTTTGTTTTCTTAATGATCGTAAATCAGTTTTCCTATCACTTCCCGGTTGAAGCTTCAGATAAACTCTGAGAATTGTGAATATCAGCAATTAGTGCTGCAGTATGGTATGGCAGCAGAGTAGCTTTAGATCCCAAGGCTTTATGCAGTTAATTGGTAACTGTGTAATCTTTGCGATTTGATTTGTATGGACTTGGTGAGTGAATGATAAATTTTGGTTCCTTAATTGATCATCAAAGTTCAGTTGCCACATAACATAAGGCAGACGATGCACTTCAGTCTGCATCGCTTCCTTTCCTTTGGTCAAGGAGTAGACACAACCCGATAGAATTTGCTCAATTGCTTCTCTTATATTGCTCAGGTGAGTCAAACGAAAGAGGTCATATTTCTGCCTTAACGATCTCTTGTTTTGATCTGAATCCGTTGTCTCTGTTCTTACTTAACCGGTCATACAAAAACTTTCCGTTCAGTATCTTGACGTCTTTCAGGTACTTTGACATAGCTTGGGCACCAGTAAAATTTCGTACCTTTAGTTGACTGCTACTGTAACAAATCGTTGTTCGATATAGGATTTCTCAAAGAAAGATGTGGAGACGGCACAAACTATATTGTTTTTCTTGGGCACCAATAAAATTTCCGTTGCTCGATATAGTTTTTCTCAAAGAAAGATGTGGAGAAGGCACAAACTATATAGATTTTGTTGGTCGTTTTTGGTATGCACCATGGTTGAATTTGTTCTCTTTTTCATTTCTTGGTCGTTCTAAATGCTCTTGTTGAATAATTTCTCTTAATTTGTGTATCCATCTTCAATTTCTATATTATCATCGAAATATTGACTTGTATCAAAGTTGAATAAGAGTCCATTCTAACAAAAGAAACCATGAAATTGGTGCACTCAATTAACAAAAGGGAATGGAGCTGAAAATACGTACTGGAAAATGAACTGATTTCACTCCCTCGCACTTAAGAGCAAGCCCCGGTCCTTGCCACCCCCCCCCCCCTTTCCAAAATCCAGCACGTACAGGAATTCATCGGTCGGAAGAAAACTTTTTATTGTCTCTCAAACATTGAAAGTGTCTCACGCTCGAAACAAACACGCGGACAACAAAGACACAGCAGAGTCAGTTCACAACTCTGCATTTTGTTCTCACTTCTCCATGTTCATTAACACCAACATTACCCAGTCTCACCATTGAAGATGCAAATTCCGAAAAGAACAGTGCTTGATCTCTGGCGAATGATTCAACAATCCATTTAGTCCTGTGATCACCGTACAAGGCCTGGTCTGATGCAAACACGCCTTTTCCTGCAATAACTCGCTTGTAGTATTCATTATCAAAAGTAGATGCGGATGAGTCCAGGAACTGTCCTGCATTGCTGTCTGTATGGTGTTTTGGGCATTTCTTCGTCAGGTTTTCTGCGAAGTCTGTGTTCAAGGTAGGATCAACCTCGTGCAACGAACTAAAATTTCGAAGCCTGGCTTCAAAGGAAGAGCAATGTGAAAATCCTAGGGTGTGTCCACCGGAAAGAGCAACCAAATCTTTAACGCCTAAACCCCTCTTTGCAAAACTCTGAATAAGTTGCGTTGAATTGGAGGATGGTGCTGGCAAGTTAATTGTTTCATTAGCTATGGAGACTCTTCCGTCTTTTCTTCCTTTGAGTACATTCCAGTGTGGACCTCCAGACTGAAAAAAAGAAAAAAAAAAAAAAGGGATAGCAATGAAGTTACTTAGAATACAATTATTGATTCATGGAAAGTGGGCCGCAAATAAGAAATTACCATTGCTACCACATCTCTTGCCGCGACAGCAATTATATCAGCACAAGAAACTGTATGCGGACAAGCAGATTCAAGTTTAGTTTTGGCATCATCAATCACATAGAATGATCGAACTGAGATGTTTGGAGGGCCGTCTTTTTCTGCTTTGTTTCCCGGAGTTGAGTCGAGCAAAATTGACGCATCACACCCCTGTCATTTTAAGACAAAAATCTTTGAGAGTTCCAAATGTATATTCTGCATGTTTTGTTTGATGTACCATGCACACATTAGCAAGTTCTTTTGTGTGTGTGTTTCGACTTTCGAAGAGATGGAGAGAGGGAGGATACCCTTATGAAACAATCATGGAAGAACATTCTGAGGATGCGAGCAGGGACTTTACGATCATATAATGAAGCATTACGAAGAGTTTGAAAGATGATACTTTCAGCCTGAGGACATGTTTTGTCATAGTAGTGGGCATCAAGAACTGCCTTTGTCAACGGAATTGCGATTAAAAGAACGACGACGATATGCTGAACCAGAGGAGCCATATATATATATATATATGTGTGTGTGTATGTATGTGTTGATCAAGAGCCGGATTAGATATGAGATGGGAGATGATCGCTAGTCGACAATGTGAAGATGAAATGGCATAGAAGCATACATGCAGGTATATAAACTGTTCTGATGGCGGGCCGAAAGAATCAACAAATGGTGGTAGAGTAGGGTAGGCTAGTCGCATATTTTCCATTTGCTGCATTATGCAAATCCCTATAGAATACTTTGAAGCTACTCCAGATGTATGACAAAGTACAAACAAACAATTGCAAAAAAAAATAAGGAAGCTGCTTTAGGACAAAGCATTCACAGATAGGTACTTGACTCTTTTGACACTAGGATTTTTCTTCTTTAGCGCACACAGATTATAAAATTAAAACTTAAATAAGAATTTTTTTTTTTTTTTTTTTTTTTTTTGCTGGAATCAAAGATTGAAGCATAATTCGTGGTTGATATATCTTCTAGAGTTTGTTGGGGCCGGCCGGCCGGCCGTTAGATTATTTCTATCAGTTGGGCATAAATTACAACGTACACGCTAAGGTGAACAGATCGCAAGAGCTGGAGGACACATTTCTTCTGTACTTTTTCTTTCAGTACTTCATCATCGTTTCTCAATATAGTACAAAGGTCTTCATATAGGTAATTAATTAACCCCATGTACTTCAGAGGATTTTGATAGTGTGACTTCATTTGTGTCATTTTATATATGCCTAAAAAAGCTGTGGTCTTTTCAGGATAGTCTTTGGACCTGGCGAAATTAATTACCATGACCTTCAAATTCTTTCAGTGAAATCAAATTCTTTCAGTGAAAACTTTCAATAATCTCTAATGTATTTTTAGCCTATTTTTGTGAATGAGAATAGTGGCATAGGGCAGGCCACATTTACTAATTTTAACCTCTATTTTTCACTAAACTAACCAACCTTAATGTGTGTTGCATGCGGTGTGATGAGATATACATGCACTTTTAACTACTTAGTTCTTGTGCCAAGCTTATAAATGAGTAGCCAATTCGAACATCAGAACAGGAGCCTGAAAAAAAAAAAAAAAAAAAAGAGAGATGTATGAGGTGAGACTTGAGAAGCTGGGAAATTATTAACTCTCAAATTATATAATAGTTTCGAATTCAACAAAGGTATGTCAGACCAAAAATCTAGTATGCAAATTTACAGTTGTCTTGAAAATTCCTTTCTAATTAGATTCCTCCTCTAGCCTTGTCCATAAATTCTTTGTTGGTGGAGACTTGAGATGTAGGAAAATGCAGTTGAAAGGAGATGCCCCTCCTTTTTCTGTTGCAATTACATTACATGTCGCATTGCGCTTTAAGCTTACTAAATGTACGAAATTGTCAACCCAATATATTTTCTTGTAAGTTTGCCATGATCGTTGATAATCTTTATGTAATTGACAAATAGATTCTAGGCTGTCTCATTTTCAGAATTGCTCAAGCACTGATGTGGAAGTGGACCAGAAACGGACCGCCATAAAAACCAAACAGGAAAAATACTCGGTAACGAAAAAAGAAAAATGGGAGGAACAACGAATTAAGCAAAAGCTTGATCACCAGGGCTTCCTAAGTTTTCTTTCCCCCTAAATCATCATGTTATTAAATGGCGATTCTTATCCTACGTATGCAAATCCCAGACACTGTGAGATTATATTAAATTTATACAAATTATGCGGATGAAAAAACAGCCTGTCATCAGATTAACAGAGCAGCAGCAAATCATTAAGTTCTCAATTCCGGACATATCCCCACCGCTAACATGATCAGTTATATTATATAGGAGTATAAAAGAAAACAAAAGCAGTAAATGGATAATCCGGTCTTGTCTGTCAATCTTCTACCGCTTCATTGCATTGGGAATCTCTCTCATTCAGAATCCTTTGTCCCATGTACCTGCATCACAAGAGAGATAGATACCCGTATTCGTTAGCAGAAGATTGGCTAGGCAAATGCTGGAATGATACTAATAAGAAGAAGAAACTAAACATGCTGGCCAATTTCTGGTTTACCTGCCCAGCATCATGACAGTGGCTTGTGGTACTGTTGATTGAGGCCGTGCACCCAATTAAAGGCAACGGGTCCACTAGCAGATTCGACGTAGCTACCGAACTGGGTGATGCCAACAATTTGAATGAGGGAAGTCTCCACGGGGCGACGCGAAGGAACCACGATGGCGTTCATTGGGTTGTCCGCCATTCCCTGACCCACCATGGGCTGGTCCAACAACACTTTGATGCCGTGCGTCCTTAGGTGTCCAGTTGGCCCAATACCACTCAACATCAGCAATTGTGGGCTTCCTAGTGCTCCGGCTGATAAAATGATCTCGTTCGCCCAGCCTCTGTTCAGGAACGCCAGATGCCTGTTCCCACTAGGGTCCAAGAACAAGACTCCATGGGCTCTTGGTCTTGGAAGCTCTGAGCCAAACCATGATGAGGTCACCTCAATTACAACATTACAGACTGTGACCTCATTCTTGATATTCTTACATATTCTTAAAAATCTTTTGAATTACTCCATTTTTTTAAAAATTTTGATGTGCCAGGCCGGAGGACAAATAATCAATAACTGTAGCTTTTAGAAACCTTATTCTGAACCCAGTAGCAATCGATCTCAAGAAATATATATATATATATATATAATTGAAAAAAATTGCAAAATAGAATTCAAAGCAGAAGACCAACAAATTCAAGCAATCAAACTGAAAGAGTAAAAAACCGCTACATTCCGAGATTGTATACGTCTCTAACTCTCAACAACTTTTGGTGTCTTGCAAGCTGGCCTCGTTGAAAACTAGATTGCTAAGTGCTGATCTCTCTCTTTTTCTCTTTTTTTCTCTTTTTTTTTTTTTGAAGGGGGCGGGGGTGTTTTAAATTTAATCAGCTAGAACTGAATTTCACTGCATCTTTCTTTCGCATGCAGGTTATGAATTACCACGTACTATTACTGCTACTGATGATGTAAGTGGAAAATTAAGAAGAGGGCTTGCTATTAGTAATTGTTTTACCTGCCACTTTGCTAATCTGAATGATAATTCAATGATTGATTAAAGATGACTACTTACGCAGGAAAGCATATATCGAAGGTAGTATAGTAATTAATTACATGAAGATTTGAGCAGTAGTAGTGATTGACTAATTAAATAACGTACTTTCTGTCTTGAACAAGATTTGCTCCACGATTGCCTGCAAATAGAGAGTGATGTTTGGTGGATGAGCATACTCGAGCAAATCTGCAGCGGTGTGTCTGTAGCCACTTCCATCAAAGGTGGTGCCCCCCACCTTAGTCCCCTTCACATGATCGTACGTAAATCCGTTGTACGGGAATTGCCCGGCTTCCAGCAAACCACTCCTCACCGCCGATTGCCACGCCCCCACTTCCGGCTCGAATACCACCTTGTTTTCCACCCACTCGTACGACTCGTTCACTGCCCTCTGATCCCACCCCATCCTGCTGACGTAGTCGGTGCTCGCCCTCGAGTAGAACCCCGCATTCAAGGCCGTCCCGCCCCCTAACACCCTGGCTCTGTGGTTGATCACTCCGTCGGTGGAAATGAATAGCTGGGAAGGGGATGATGGGGAGGTATTCGCTAGGGTGGCACCGAACCCTTTTATGTCCATTACGTTGGGGTCGTCGTATGGCAAGCCGCCCCTTTCCAGCAAAAGCACTCGACCTCCCTGGGACAGGGTGGCTGCCAAAGCGCATCCTGAAGTTCCTCCGCCGACGATTATGTAGTCGTAGAACACTAGAGGCGGAGCCGCTGTAGCATCTTTGGCGAATGTGTGGTAGGGAGCTGCAGGTTATATGCGTTCCAAAACTTTCTATTAGTATTTAGCAAATTTACGAGAATTGATCAAACAATTAATAGCCGGACGTATATGATGTTTTTGTTAATTTGGAGTATGGGAAGAATTATCTTAAATGAATGTGAATAACGCAACACGACAACATCAGTAATCTTAGAGAGTCGGCCGGAGAGAACCTGGCTCGGAGAAGGAAGAACAAATGAGGCATAGAATTCCAACAAGAGTAGCGAGAATCGAACTCCACTTTCCTGTATTCATCCTTTATGGCGTCCAAACTCTGAAAGTCCCTAATGAAGAAACAAAAATTTGCAAAACTCTGACAGCTGATTCTTGCTGCACCAACACCAATAACTCAACTAATCTTCTTTTCGAAGCCTGGCAATCCTGATGAGTATCTGCATTTCTTAATTGACAGGTACAAAGATGATCACTGTGTTTTTTTTTTTGTCGGATAATCCGAAGGGAGGGAATTTTGATAGTTGAGCAATGCAAATTTCACCCCTTGTTTTATCCAAAGATTCTATCAGCCTTCTTCTTAAAGACCTCACTGGTTATTTTCTACGAGTTTTACACTCCCACCTCTTTCTCTTTGCTTACGTGACGGCTAGTAAATGCCTGATTCTCCCACTCCAAGCACTTCTTTTATACAATATTGTGGGCGGCATACATTTAACAATTTGTCCTGACCTGAGCAAACAATAATGAATTTAACTTTTACTTTTTTTTTTCTTTTAGGATTATCTTAAAGATCTTCTTTCTTTCTTTTGTCCAGGCAATTTTAAAGACCTTGTTGGGATCCCATTAGCCTAATTCTACACCCACCTTCCGTAAAATTAATTGAATTACACAATCACTTTGTGCTTTAAATTGCCATGCAGATTCTTATAAAGAAAAAATTGACTCAGCTAATTAAATGCATAAATTGACTCACAACAAGTACTTGTTTTGGAGCCATGTGGACTTTGGTTTTACTTTTGTTTCTTGAGGAAACAATAATTATATATGTATATTGCAATATTCCTGGTCTCATTTGCGTTGAGGTTTTCTTTCTTTCTTTCTTTTTTTTTTTTAACAGGACTCTCTAGAAATACTCCCTTTTCTTTTCGTTATACAGTGCATGAAGCAGAATATGAGTATAATCAAATCAATTACCAGGTGATACATTAATCTAATGCATACATGTACTGTCATACAAGAAAGAAGACCAAGATTTTTTTTAAAAAAATAAAAATAAAAAGTGGAGGAAGCAAAAAATGGTTGATCTACCTAATACGCATAAAAACCATTAATTTTTTTTTTTTAAAAAATGTAGACTTGGGTCTGCCTGCAAGTTTTTGATCTGCAGTATAAAGAAAACGAATAGAATAATGCTACGAAATAAGAATGAAAAGAGAGAAAAAAGGTAAACAAAGTAGAGCAGAGGAAGTAAGATGAAATGGGTGTAATTGCTCAATCTAAAAGTAGCCCATATGAGTAGAGTGGAGAAATTATATCTCGGTCCAAACCAAACTAATTATGTGGCAAGTTTAGAGCTTGGTCTTTGATCAATTTAATAGCGTTAATTCGACAAAAAAGTGTCTTACAATCTGATTTGGATATATGGTGGTATCTGATGTGAAATTAATGGATTCCATAATCTTATATGAAACACTTTTATTGGTAAAAAACGAAGTACTAAACTTGCAAAATAATTGATCTATACCACAATCAAATTTCTTATCACTGCTTCCATTCACAAGGATCAAACTCTCACTGCCTCCGTAAATAAATTTCCCGTTTCGTTGTTCCACTTCTCCCCTCCAACAGTCTGGACTCTAGAAAAACCAGCCCAAAAAAACAAAAGAAACAGAAAGAATTGTCGATGATCCAAACCTGACAACTGCATGCGAGTGGCCACAGACAAAAGCAGCCCAGGCGATGGGATTCGATCCAAAGTAGATGGGTCAGTAAGTTTGCGAGATTAGGAAACCTAACACGCCCAGATCACGTATCGGAATCCCACTTAGATTTCCCATCTACCTCAAATTTTCCAAAGGAATCCGATTCAATTCAATTTCAATCCAGTCGAATCCTTTCAGGTTTCAACCGAACCAACCCTCCAAGTTTATCAGATCCATTCACCCACCCCTTTGTTTGGGAAAGTTCATCTATATTAGTACCACTAGTTGAAAATTCATCAATAGATGTCGAGGGAAGCGATCACCAGAGCAAAAACAGGAGCAGCAGCCATGGAGGATTCTTTCTTCTGCGATTTCCGATTCCATTCCAAGATTGACGCTTTCGATATCGCTAGCGAAGCATTTACTGAGCACTAGTCAGCCGTCAACCCCCACCAGCTCTCCTCCTTGTTATCTGGTAAGTACCACTACCCAAATCATCCAAAACCCTAGTCATCCATCATCAACCCTAATTGCAGAAGTTCTTCTCTTGTTTCTTGAACTAATATCATCTTCCTCCTCCCAGCTTTTCTTTTTTTTTTTTTTTTAAACCACAAGAATGAGTCCGAGTATGTCCAAATCCGAAAAACAAGAGAACAAGGGTGGTGTTTTAGAGATTTCGCCGGACGGCCGTTTTATTAAGTACGATGAAGTTCTTGGTAGAGGAGCATTCAAGACGGTATTCAAGGGTTTTGATCAAGAAAACGGGACGGAGGTAGCTTGGTACCAAATTAACCTGGAAGCCGGCAGGGCAGCAGCCTCCTTGGATGATTTGCCCAAACTTGCCAAAAGTTTGTTGTCTGAGGCTGCTTTGATGAAATCACTCAAGCATAACAACATAATCAGATGCCAACACTCGTGGGTTGACGAAGATAACACGAATGTAAACATGATTACTGAGTTGTTTAGTTCGGGAACTTTAAGGGAGTTTAGGAACAATCACAAGTCCGTCAATATCAAGGCCATCAAGAACTGGGCTAAGCAGATTTTGGAGGGGCTGAACTATTTGCATACCCGTAATCCACCCATTGCTCATAGAGATTTGAAGTGCGATAATATCTTTGTCAATGCGAATCAGGGGGAGGTCAAGATTGGTGATCTAGGATTGGCCACGGTGTTGAAGAATTCAGGTGTCGCAACAAGTGTTGTTGGGACACCTGAATTCATGGCTCCTGAAGTGTATGACGAGAAGTATAATGAACTTGTCGACATATATGCCTTTGGGATGTGCATGCTGGAGTTGATCATTTGTGATTACCCTTACAGTGAATGCACAAATGTCGCTCAGATTTACAAGAAGGTCACGAAAGGGGTGAAGCCACTTGCCTTGGGAAATGTCAAGGATCCTCAGGTTAAAGGATTTATTGAAAAGTGTTTACTTCCTGCAGCTCAGAGACCCAGTGCTGCGCAGCTCTTGAAAGATCCATTCTTATCATCACCAGAGAGCTTAAAAGGGGATAAATGCGAATCGGGGGTTCGCCCGTCCGCTGTTCTGCCTGAATCCAACAATATTCCGCAGCCTGATTCCCAAGTCTCCACGAGTAATGATGGATCTAGTTATAATAAGGCTTCGACTTCAAGTAAGGCATCTGCAGCAGGCATGATCACGTCAGGTCCTATCTCTATATTAGAATCTTTGAGGTCCACACAACAGATACAGCTACGATTGAGAGGGAAGAGAATCGATCAGAAAACAGTTTTGTTTAACTTGCGAGTTGCAGACTTGCATTGTCCTGTGGCAAACTGTTTTGAGTTTCTCTTTGATCTTAAATCTGATGATGCGCTTAAGATCGCTTCAGAGATGGTTCAAGGGAAGGACTTAACGTATGGAGATGTGCCAGTCGCAGTTGAGTTGATGGACAGCATGCTTTTGGAGCTTGAACCAACCTGGAAACCTTGCAATGCATATTACAGTGCAAATAATGTTGCATCTGACTGCAGGGAATTGGGTTCAAATTGGCAACTTGGCGCTGTGGTTCATTAGGGATTCAATCAGTTGTAAATGAGAATTCAATCAATTGTAAATGGATAGACTCTCTCCAGGACAACAGTTTTTTGGTACACCTTTGTTATTGTATATTATCAATAAAAGTGGATTCTTTTTTCGTTACGTTCTATTATATCTGAAACTTTTTTGAGCAAATGCATGCACACACTTTTCATGTGTTGCTGTTTGATTTAATTTCACGCCTGGACAGCTTCTTCCTTGATGGCATTTAAGACAGTAGAATTTTTTTTTTCCCTCTGGAATCATTCCACGAGTTCCTACAGGTTTTTAGTAGGAGTCTGTGTTTAATACATCCTGTATCTGAGAAATTCTACTCTGTTCCATGTAGTTTTCCGAGAGAAATTTTCAGTTGGTGTCCTTCTTAGTTATATATCGGGTTTACACACAGTTTTACACTGTTCAAACTGCATAATGGATGATAACCATATCAATTCTGCTTTCTGTCAGCTCCTACCAATTGTTTTTGAGTGTTAGAAAATCCACTCAATGTGGCTCATTCTATTCAGCTGGTCCAGATCATTCTATTCAGCTCCTACAGTTAATTGCCTCCAATAAAATGCTCCATCAAGAAGTAGCTCCTACAGAGGGAATGCGAAGTAGTACATGCTAATCTGCTACTCTTCCCTACTGTGTAAACAACACATTCTCGGGGATTCAAATCCCTCTACCTCCTCTCAACTTCTTTAAGTTCAAGTCCCACCCCTCCTCTGCTGGAAAAAGATTTAAAAAAAAAATTAAAAACAATTAAATAACACATTGTCCTACTTCCATTAAGTGTAAGCTGATCCCCACTCATGATGGTAGGACATGCTAGCGGATGATAGTCTAGCAAAATGCACGCGACGTAGGCTAGTCGAGGTCTGCTTCCTCAGCCTCCTAGAGTGAGGGAAGAATGCCAGATCACAACAATTGGACCACCACGAATAGCTGATCAAACTTGCTTATTGGCAAAAAAGTGAGTTCTTGGTTGATTGAGGTGATATTTTGTTAAGTTGATGCTCGAATTAATTGACATTAACATTCTTAAATGTATCGATTGGATATAGAAGTTAGTTAACTGGCACTGGAAGAGGATCTAGTAGCTTCTCTTACAGAAGTCAGTTAACTGAACTGGAAGCGGTCTGTTTGCTCAAAGAGAAGGGACGAAACGAAATTTGCAATCTCAAAGGAGGTATCCCGATAAAGGGAACTAGATGCATGTGGATGCGAGTCTTTTCATGCTAATCCCACAGCTAACTAAAGCATTTGTGCCCTGTAAGGAAAATATGAAAGTCTGCAACTACTTTTGGAGATAATAATGGTGGTAAATAAGTACGGACGCACTTGCTGATTCAACATGCAATGTGCCACCAAGAACAGACGTTCAATTGCAAAGGCTCTCCTTTTCTTCCAGCCATCCGTTAGTGGGAGAGCTACATTTTTGTACTTCTGATTTTGTGCAATAAAACAGAGGAACTGCTCAAGATTGAAATGTGATACTAACCCTCTGGTAGTATGAGAAAAAAGATGGCAGTATAGTCAATCATCATTCCGCCAAGATTATTGATCTGTCGGCAGAGAGGCAAGGCAAAGAGACATTGATGATTTCTTTCGGCTATATTTTGATGATTTCTTGGCTATTTATTTATTTGATATGACA